TGTAATACTGTTATTAATGATTGGAGGGATTTTTTATGTATGCTGCTCAAATGGGCTAGGGTGGCATGGTATATGTACCAAGTTCTATGACGATTGGTTCAGGCATTTAAGTAATATTACAGTAATTACCACAATAGTCAGAGAGGCTGTAATGTTGGTATTACTGATTGAAGGGATTTATGAAGTATGCTATTGAGTTGGCTTCGCGTGGTATGATACACCAAGTTTCATTAAGATTGGTATGGGCGTTCAAGCAGTATGGAAGTTTTGCCTCAGATTTTTGAGGGGCTGTAATGTTGGATTTATTGATATGAGGAATTTATGAATTATGCCATTGTGATGGGCTCAGGTGCCTTGATATACATACCAAGTTTTACAAAGAATGATTCAGCCATCCAAAGTTAATAGGGTGGAGGGATGCACAGAGAGACATACAGAAGGGAAAAAAGAATGCATTATGTGAAAGACCTATCTATCCATTTGTTAAGTGTCTAAATCATTGCAGATATTCTTCAAATTCAATATAGGAGACATCAAAAGTTATTGGGTAGTTCCAGTTTTCATCCATGTTGATCCATAATAAAGCCTTGTTTATATAAGACCATAAATGAACTTTTCCATGTTTCCCATAAACTATTCCACAGATTTTTTGTTGAAATTTGATGTGAGTTGCAGGCGGTTCTGTTTTTCAGTGATGCCACTGTGTAACAGAGCTTACTTTATGTAAGACAGTAGCAGAATTTTCCAGACATTCCATGAACCCTTACCCAGATTTTGCTGAAATTTGATATGGGAGACTACCACAAAATTTTGTTTAGCTTTTCCATTATTCAGTTAGTTCATCCATACTGAGGCCTGGCATAGTTATTGCTATACATCAGGCATGGTTTCTCTGTTGATGTCATAATATATTGTAGTTATATCAAAGGGAAAACTCATGAGTCTACATTTTGGGAACTAAGACTCATTGGATGAAAGGACAAAAAACATGCCACTAATTTTGCATCTACTTCCCAATGAAATCCACCCCCCAAGTCTCATGCCCTCTTCATGCAGTTAATATCAGTAGTCAGTACATTAGTAAGGAGCGGTTGTAATGTGTTTTAGTGGTAGCTGTTTTCTTTTAATGCAGGTTTTCTTCGACCTTGAAAGACATCGAAGAGTCTGCACAACAACCCCGCTTTACAGTAGAAGGAATTGAGAAGCTCAATTCACAACCCTCTGAGGAACTTTCTCAGAATCATACCTCAGTAGTAGTTGATCCAGCTCTAATAACTATTAAGGGTTTGTTCCCCTGTAATATTTGTGATAAAAGTTTCACACATAAGAGTAAACTGAAGGAACATGTAACAAGACATGTTGGGGGAAGGCCACATGTATGTGAAGTGTGTGGAAAGAGATTCAAGGAGCGTAGCAGTCTGAAGAAACATGCTATATCACACACAGGACAGAAGG